ACTGTTACTCATGAAATAGTATTGTCAAATACCATTCGGGCATCTAATTTTTCCTGTGGAAAAAATCGTAAAAACACAATGCTAAGTAATATTTTTAACAAAATGCATTCGTGCAGGTGCAAAAATCCTCGTCTTCGACTCGAAAATAATCCACTCCGCATTTACTCCACAATTTTTTTCACAGTGTACTGCGACTTTTTGATTGTTATTCAAATAATAACACTGTAGGGAGGTGAAAATATCACAGCTAAACGCTCGGACACGTAAACTTAATTTTTGGTCGTAGATTACAAATCCATGCTTGGTTTAGCTGTATCCTCCCTTTTGGCACAAAACCCTATCTAACTGCTGTAGTACGCCCTTTTGGCATTTAAAACGCGATATCTTTAAAAGAAATATTTCCCTGTTCCAAAACTTCAACCTATTTTCGTTACAAATATTTCGTATATTATTCGTATATCCAATGCAAATCGTGCGAAAAATAAAAAACAAATGTTATCTACAACAAAAAATAATTTCCGTACCAGTTCAAAATGAGCAATGAAATACTCCCCATACTTCCCCATTAAAATAAAAAAATGAGTAATGAAATAAATCCACATTACACATTAAAATAAAAAATGTAATGTAAATTCTTACATTACTCATCAAAAATTGAAAATGTCTATTTTAAGAATAAAAGTACTTCTCAATGATTAAAATACATTAGTTCTGTCGTAAAAAATCCATTCTTATAAATTTTAAATAAAAACTTAAATTAACAATATATTGCTAATTTAAGGAAAAAGTCTATTTTAAGAATAAAAGTACTTCCCAATGATTAAAATACATTGGTTCTGAAGTAAAAAATCCATTCTTATAAATTTTAAATAAAAACTTAAATTAACAATACTTAGGTACTTAAAATTTCCTGCATAATAAATTATTGAAGGTTACCACTTACACACACGTTAAAAAAAACATAGATCGTGTGCAAAATAAAATAACTATATTGGAAAAAGGGCGAGTCAATGAATTAATGCCTTTTAGAATTGAAAAAGGTGGCTCGTTGAAAATTTGTGCAAATTGCTTTTTCTAATTGAATGTCACCCCTACTAAGCCCAATTATAATTTGCATGGTAAATTGATTAAATTATTTATGTATACAAACCAAACCCAAAGCTATAAAGCAATTAATTAGGGCAAGCGTGTAAAACAAGGATCAAGAAATATTGGAATAGGAATAAGAATAGTAGATTGTTCTATAATTAAAGAAAAGTAATAGTTTTCTACTAAGTGGAAATACTGTGGTAATGTGGCAACATTAAAATATTAAATTTTTACATAATAGAAAACTCACTTTCGCATTATTAATGAAAAAGCATTAATTAATAAAATATATGACTACTGAAATCTGTCCGATGGACAATCTGACATCCGTCAGATAGACGTTTTTATCTTAAAACTAGTAATTTTCATTACGATTTTTAAGATCTGCTTAACTAAAGTCTTGCTAACTATAAAAGTAGTACTTTTCTTTACGATTTTCCTTCAATAAAGAATGCTCTTTTTATTTGGATGTAGATCACACAAAATATATTGGGTACTCGAAAAGGTTCTCGCCGATTTTATCGATATAATTCGCATATCTCTGTTAATAATGTTTGCATTGGGTTGTGTGCATGAATAAGTTAATATTTCATAGTTTATTTTTATTTATTCAGTAAAAGGGTCAGTATTTGATTATTCCACTCATTATTTTATGGACCAATCAGATTTCAGAAAACGAGTGGTTTTTTCAGTTTTGCAGCGATAAAACTACTATTAAGGTGACTATTTCCCTCGTCTCAATTTCCACCAATCACAAACGAGCAATTTTGAACTGTTACTCATGAAATAGTCTTGTCAAATACCATTCGGGCATCTAATTTTTCCTGTGAAAAAAATCGAAAAAACACAATGGCTAAGTAATATTTTTTTAACAAAATGCATTCGTGAAAGTGCAAAAATCCTCCTCTTCGACTCGGATTTTTGTTGCCACCAGCACTCATGCTTTTTGTGAAAATATTACTTAGCAACGTGCTTTTTCGATTTTTTTCAGAAAAATTAAATGCCCTTATGATATTACTTACGATAATCGTCCGAAATAGGTTCTCGGAACTTTTGTCTAATTTTTATGTAATTTTATAACTTACCAAGTATTTTATGGGGTAGGACAATATTAAATATAAATTGTTAAGTAGGTACCTATATGTTTTGTTTTCAATTATCAAAAATGAAAAAAGTTTTAAAGGTCATATTTCCAGTAAGGCGAATTTAACATTTTGATGTGATTTTTTTTATTATAAATTGAATATTTAATAATAAATTACAAAGGACTAATAGTATATTATGTATGTGTTTGATAAACGCCATTTTGGACACGAATTTAATTTAGGCACGAGCGGGCTTGTGATCGACTGCTTAAATTAATGATTGTCTAGAAAAGTTTATAAACGAAGTGCATACTATACTTTTTCTACGACAAATACTTATTATTATCTTAAAATGATTTAAATCAAATATTTGTATAAAGCGACATCTATAAAACAATGGGGAAATCTGTGTTACCGTCAAATGTCAATTTTTTTTATTGAAAGTGAAAGTGAAAGTTTTATGAGCATTTCACGGTGGAGTCCGAGTCCAAATTTAAGTTATATCTAATTTACTGCCGGCGAAATTAAAAGGTCAGTTCAATGTTCATATAAAATTTTTAGTTTTGTTCATACAAGTTTTGTTTTTCGTACATGTTAACAAGCTATGGATTTATCGCGCTTTAGTCACGGGCTGAAGTAAGCTTTAAGTTAGTTGTTAGTTGTCAAATGCCAAACAATCGTTAAAATAAAGTGCCCTTCTTCCAATGTAAAAATAAATGTAAAAATTATTGTATTATTTTAACACAAAAATAAAAAGTATTAAATGGTTTCTTAACTATAATATTTAAAAAGTTTATATGCACGTTTGTATTGACCTTTTGATTTCGCCGGCAGCACTGTCTAATATAAGACTGTGGTCGGCAGTAAACTAGATTTAACTGATGAAGCATTAAAAATTTCGGATGGAGATTCCACAGTGGAGTGAGCATAAAACATTCTCTTTACTTTAACAGTAAAAAACTGCTTCTATATCGGATTTAAACGGTTGTTAATCCATTTTTAAGGGATAAATTTCGATTTACATAAAGAATGTGACATTTACATCCGGTAATACAGATTCCCATTCTTACGCGATTGGTTTAAAACTTATTTATATTTATTTAATTTAAATTATTTTTAGATAATAATAAGTATTTGTCTTATGTAACTAGTTTATAAACTTTTCTAGACACTTATTTAATTACTTTCTAAAAATGAATTAGTCAACAATGACTAGTTACTACAGTTATTAGTGGCTGCTTTTTTACTTTTACCATGGTTAACCATGGGATACCATGGTATCCCCAACATTTAACAGCCAATTCTTATGTAAAATTGTCCCCTGAATCCGAATAAATATGAAAGTAAAGCAGTTTTTAAAACATAGTCTGTCCCACTTTTCTAACTTTTGCCGACATTTTCGGATTTAGGGGACAATTTTACATGGAAATTGACTTCTAAATGTTCTGGATACAAATTGCTATGACAATTATTCATTTTTGACTAATATACAATATACAATATATAAATAATTAAGCCTTAATATCTTAATATTTTATTATTTATTCATTTATTTATAAATCAAACGAATTATTGTTTATAATTATAATAAAATATCGTAATTGCAAGTATAAATAATTATTTGCATATCAATATTCAATTAATAAATTAGTATTAATTTAGGCTGAATGCTATTTATTAAATAAATATTAATAATAATTGATATCACTAGATGTTATGTAAATATAAAATAAATATAAATTACATTCGCCAAATAAAGCAATCGTTAATACAGCGTTTACAATAAATTATAAAAATACGTATTTATACCAGTACTTACTTTCAATTTTATTTAATATACCCACCCACCCAAATACTCGGTAAAAAGTTATTTTTTTATTTATCCAATGCCATCAAAATATATGTTCTCTAAATGCTATGGCCATTGGTACCATGACCAATATTTATTTTATCATTTTTGTGGGTTTCTTAAGTTGGTCCAATTCCTATTGAAACTTATTGGGTATACTTTTTTTTGCGATCATCAAGGTACCATATAGAAAGTCAGCTATCGACCATCAACCCTTATGGTAAACAGCCGTATTTTTGATTTTATTAAAAAAATACCATTTTTGACAAGAAAAATTAATTCTACAAATTTATATACCTACTTGATATTTTTTAATATTTTGTATATTTAACAAGTAGTTACCAATTAGTACATTAAGCAAACAATTGCTTTTTTTTCAATAGTAGTTGTACCTGTGTGTTTAACAAGTTTTAAATTTAAAATATATTTGACCGTACAAAAATTTCACCTTAGTCTTAAATATAATTAGGTATTTGTCCTTTATTGTAGATACTACTTACTAGACCATCTACTAGATAGAAACGTTGTGCTTAGCACAAATGATAAACTAAACTAAAATTTCACGTATTTACATTAAGTATTTCTAACAGGAGTCTAGAAATTAAACCAGATATTCAAAAAGACGAAATTTGCCGAAGGTGCGGAGTGATTCGCACAGTAAAAAAAGTATTGAAGTATTGAACATTCTATATGCGACGACTTCTTTTAGAGTTATATATTCACACTGATGATAGGGTAATAATTTATATTTCCATGGTAAATATTATAACGGTATTTAGTGTTGCATTTAATTTGCTAGTGCATAAGATAAAAAGATGGCGTCAGGTGATGACGCTCTGCTTGATGTGAAATCAAAAGCGTGTAAAAAGTGCAAAATAACACCCAAACAAGGACTATTGTGTATAAAATGTGGTGCCATAAATCATCCAGGATGTGCTAAATTGATAAAAAATGCAAAAATAATTGACAATAACTCAATGATTTGTTGTGAAGGTGTAAAATCAAATGACATTGAAAACATAAATGATATTGAAGACGAAGATAACTTAAACATCATCATCAGTGACCAAGGTATGGAAATAAAATATCTGAAAACCATAATACATGACAAAGAAGATATAATAAAACAACTGAAAGATAAAGTAAATTTGCTTGAAGAAAAAATAAATTTTATAAATATAATACAAAACCAAACAAATAAAGAAAACATTAATAATAAAGAAATACAGGCGCCGCCTAGTACGGAAAAGCAAAACAACAATAAAGCATCGAAAGATTCCTATGATAAAAACAATCAAGGCAGCACCTCAAAAAAAACAACCAAAACAACAGTAAACAAAGCGGCTGACAATAACCAAGAAAACTTAAATAAACAAACGCAAGTCGTAGAAAATAGTAAAATAAACAATGCAGATGGAAAAAATCTAGAGAAAGAAAACCAACAATTGGAAACCATGAACAACGATGATGGAAAGTGGGAAAAAGTAGAGAAAAAAGGCAAGAAAAAGACAAATACTACCATTAGAGGTTCAGCAACGAATGATGAAGAATTTAAGGGCGCAGCAAGAAGGGGATGGTTGTTCGTGGGTAAAGCCAGACCTGAAACCACTAATAGCCAAATTAAAACTTATTTGCAAAAAAGATATCCAAATGAAGAATTTTTAGTTGAAGAAGTAAAAAAGCATGAAACAAATCTAAGCAAAAACAAATCCTTTAAATTGGCATGGAATATTCACTGTTAGAAAAAATAAACAATCCTGAAGTATGGCCTCAAAATGTTATAGTCCAAAAGTACAAGTTTTTTCGTAACCAAGGTAACAAGCCAGACTTCATATGCAAATGACAGAACCTTCTAGAATAACAAAAACATCAAGTACATGCATAGACAATATTTTTACCAATCTAAATAAACAGAAAATAACTAAGAAAGAAACAATCAATACACATATGTCAGATCACTTGGGACAACTAATATATTTAAATACCCATGAAGACGTATCTAAAATATACAAAACCATAAAAACAAGAGTTTTTTCAGCTGAAAGAATATTCCTTTTTAAAAGTTTCCTAAAAAAAAAATTGGCTTAATTTATATGACTTAAATGCAGTATCAGCATACACACAGTTTCATAATGAAATACAGAGAAATTTTGAAAACTATTTTCCTAAAATAACAAAAACAATTAAAGAAAATAATAAGACAAAAAAGTGGATGACAGATGAATTAAAAAATATGAAAATTCAACTGGATGTAATAAATACTATATCCAAAGCTAAAAAAGACAATGATTCCCAAGAGGCCTACAAAAGCTATAAATTACTATATGTTAAAAAAATTAAAGAAACAAGAAAAAAGTATTATGAAAGTTATATAAACAATTCAGACAACAAACAAAAAACTATATGGTCAGTAATAAATAGGGATGGGATTTTAGTTATTTTACCTTTTTTTAACCGATGTAACTATTTGAAAACCAATAATGCCAAAATGTGTTTTAAAAGATTTTCTTTTATATGAACCTAACTTGTTTTCACCTTTTTTACCTTTTTTGGAGGTTTTTGCTTTTAACTACCTTTTTTATACTTTTGTTACCTATTTTTTTAATTTTTTTTTACCTTTTTTACCTTTTTTGGAGGTTTTTGCTTTAAACTACCTTTTTATACTTTTGTTACATATTTTTTAATTTGTCAGTTTATTTTCACATATTTGTTACCTATTTTTAGGTATTTTTACTTATTTTATTTTTTTTGGTTCTTTTTAAAATTTGCGCCAATATTTTATCCAGGGCGTGCAACTCAACGGTATAGAATTTTTTCTTATGGTTACAGACTGTGACAGTAACTTTCTTTACAGTTACCTTCTTTATAGTGACTCACTACTAGTGAGCTTATGTTCTGTCATAGAACTTCTGTGTAGTGAGTGTCACTCAGTAAAACACAGTTTATTGCATAGACATAGTTTATTGCGGGTTTGTTCTGTGTTTGGGTATGCGGCTAAACAAAATTATAAACGAAACTTAAACTTTTAATGTTTTTTTTACCTAAAATGCTGTTTTTTTTAACCTGAAATGCTTTTTTTAGTACCTTTTTAGTTACCTATTTTTCAGTTTTTAGTACCTAAATATCCCATCCCTAGTAATAAACAATGAAATTGGCAAAACAAAACAAGATACGGCAAAAACTAAACTAACACCAAATGAACTAAATACCTTTTTTGCAATATTGGAACTGAAACTGCAAAAACAATACAAACAGTGAATATAAAGCCTATTGAATACCTTAATAAATGTGAAACAAACACCACTAAATCCTGTTTTTTTGGTGAAGTTAATGAACGTGAAATATTCAAAATAATATGTTCCATAAAAAACAAAAAAACAAAAGATATATATGGTTTCTCTACAGCACTGTTGAAGGAAGTTAAAGAAGAAATCACTATACCTCTAACGATTCTGATAAATAAATGCTTATTAGAAGGCATATTTCCAAAGGAAAAAAAATGTGCTAAGGTAACAGCAATACATAAGAAGGGTAATGTAGATGACTGCTCCAACTACAGGCCCATATCAATACTACCAGTGCTATCAAAAGTTCTTGAACTTGTCATTAAAAATAGACTTCTTGGATTTTAAAAAAAAAATAAGATATTGAGTAATAACCAACATGGGTATCGCAAACAAAAATCTACAACCACAGCACTTTTACAAGTAGTAGAAAAAGTAATGAAAGCCTTTGACAACAAAGAAATACTTAACATCGCAATGTGTGATCTTAGTAAAGCTTTTGACACCATTCTGCATGAAGTATTACTACAAAAACTACATTTTTACGGAGTACGAGGCATTCCACACAAAATGCTTGAGTCATATTTGGAAGATCGAATGCAGCTAGTATCCTGTAATGGAACATTATCAAATTTAGAAAGTATTAAGTGCGGAGTCCCACAAGGATCGGTACTTGGGCCCATACTATTCATTATATACCTAAATGACCTAACATTTAGCTGTAAAACCGATATTTGCCTATATGCTGACGATACGAGTTTTTTGGTAAATGGATCATCTTATTTAAATGTAAATACCAACTTAAATAATATTATTAAAGAATCAAAAATATGGTTTGAGGCAAACAAACTTAAACTAAATGAAACAAAAACTCAGTCCCTATTTTTCAATAGCACCGATAAAACATCAGCAAAGTTTATGGGTTTGCCATAGATTCAAATATAAACTGGTCAATCCATGTAGAGGAAACCCAAAAGAAATTACATCGCAATCACTAGCCAAACTAACATACTATGCCAACTTCCATTCAGTAGCCATATACGGCATCCTGTTGTGGGGATCAAGTAAAGAAGCAAATAAGATCTTTATTCTACAAAAAAAAGGCAGTCAGGGTACTATGCAATTTGAAACGAAAAGAAAGCTGCAGGAAAGCCTTTAAAACTTTGCACATCCTAACAATTCCATCAGTCTATATTCTAACCTGCCTTAAACATGTCCACAGTAATCTGGAAAATTTTACAAAAACTTGTGATGTACACAGATTTAATACAAGAAATAAAAATGCATTGCAAATCCCTTTGAAAAGGCTAAAAAAAACGCAACAACAAGTTGGATACTGGGGAACCAAATTCTATAACCATCTACCTAAAGAAGTAAAAGAACTAAATACAGAGAAATTTGCAATTTCTATAAAACAGATGCTACTAAATCACTCCTTCTACTCAGTTGAAGAGTTTTTAAATTGTAGTTGTTTAAAATAAATATAAAATAAATTTTATAATCATGTAATTTGATGTTGTTTGTTCACAGTTTTGTATTATGTTTCTATACAATTTTAAATTTGCATGTTTAACTTCTATTTTTATATTCTATATTTTTTAATTCTTATACATTTTACACTTTTATATTATATTTTGACAATTCATGTAATTTTTTGATGATGAATAAACTTTACTTTACTTTACTTTACTAAATTTAACACTACTGTGTGTTAAGGGTACTCTGGGTAGTTACCCGGAAAAAAATTGTTTTGTTAATTAGAGTTTTTATAACATTTAAACTCTTATAAATGAGTTATTTAATCTTTTATTTTATTTTATTATCGGTTTTAGACATAATGCCTAATCACATTTCAAGTTTTTTTCAATAAAATATCTTTAATATAAATGATAAGAAATAATGCGCTTACCTATATATTACGTATTATGCAGCGGTACCCACGCACAAGCGAACCATTAAACAGCCCTTGGAAACAGCACTAAACTAGTTTACAAATTTATAGAGGCTTTGCAATCCCCACCACAAATAATAACACTAATAGTGCAGATTTAACTCTTTTTAGTGTAAAAATATACTCGCTTACTGTTAACTTTACTCTAATCCAAAACAATAATACACTAGCAAGAGGAAAACTAGGGTAATTTTAACGCAAATAGCAGTTGTAAAATACTAATTTATAGTGTAAATGTTTTTCCTTTTACAAAGTGTAAATTAACACTAATGCGATTGTATTATACATTATTACACTTTCAAATAATACAGTTATGTAGAGTAATATTAAGGTATAGAGTTAAATAATTGGTGCCTTTTACACTTTACCAACTTTAAAATATTTACCAACTACACTAGCTACTTTACTCAATCCATATTTTTTACTTACTTACTGCAGCATTAATAAGAAAGTGCTCGTAACCAAATCGAGTTTACTCAATCTATAGTTTGATATATATATTTTTAAGTTATATATCAGCCCTTCGTTCCCCTAAAACTCTCCCTAAATCTAGGGAAAATCCTTCTTTGGAAACACTAAAAGTCCCCTGCTCTTTTGGACGCTCGTCTATCTTAAAATTATTGTGTTCAACGCTCTCATTGGCCCACGTTATCAAAATGACTGAGGTGGTTCCGACACAAGTTTTATATAAAAATTATATTTATCTACTCTTTAAAAACTAATTGGTCAAAAATAATTGTCATAGCGAAAAAGCATATAATTTTCTTCAAAAACAATTTGTATACCGAACATATAGCAGTCAATTCCAAATTGTCCGCTGAATCCGAAAATGTCATCAAAAGTTTTTAAGATATAGTCAATTTTCCAAATAATATGGAATTGACGATATTTCAAAAACTGCTCCTTTTATAATTTTTGACGGAATTTTCGGATTCAGGGAAAATTTTACATAAGAATTGGCTGTTAAAAGTCCGGGATAAAATTTTTTATCGACAACAGTTATTACTAATAACTTATTAGTGACTGCTCTTTTACTTTGAAAACTAGTCATTTTTGACTAATTAATTTTTAGAGAGTACTACATTAACGAGCTGTGACTTTATGGCGTTTTATTCAGGAGTTGAAGTTAGCTTTATTATAAATTGATGAAAATTAAGGTTAAATCCGTTGACAGTTGACAGTTGACAGATGTCAAATGTTTTACAAATAAAATTGGATTTCAATTCTGTTTTGTGTTCGTCGTAGACACTCGTTTTTATTAAACACTCGCTCGCAAGCTTTGCTCGTGCTTAATTAAACTCGTAACTAAAATGGCGTTTATACAATTTGATACATAATATACTATTACCCACGTTTTTTCTTTAAAATAGTATTATAATAATTATAAAAACGTATCCTCCATCAATGGTTAATTATAAAATGCAATAAAACGCTTCTTCTATTTATTTAAATTTCCGTTGCAATTTCGTATTTCTTTATTATTTTAATAAAAGTAGGTACATCATAAACTGTGGTTTAAATTTTTTAATTTAATTCCAAACTCACTAAATGAACCTTAACTTTCTTTAAATTTAGTAATTTATTACCGACTTCGAGTCTTATTTAA